GGCTTCCTATTCACCTAGACACTAAAAAGTCTTAAAGCTGAGCTTTTACAGAACCAGAGAAAATGCTGCGGCCCGAGCGCAGGAGGGCTCTTTCCGTGCTGGCTGCTCGGTAAGACCCCCCACCCCCGACTCCTCACTAGTGCCTCTGCCAGCACACAGCCCTCTTTTATTGAAAGGATCTTCCAATCACTTGTGAAAGTAGGGGTTCAAAACACTAATGCGCCAGTGATAGAGGGAGTGCTGAATATGAGGGTGAGCCTGGGTTCAGTGCCCAGCACCAAAGAATAAATTAAAAACTGAAAAGCCAACGTACAGAAGTCACGAAGGTTACAGGGTCTTGAAAAACAATTACACATATGGCCCCAAAATAACTCCTGACTTCTTCCCAAGACAGTAACTGGCAGCCCTGACAGGTTTCCATTTTATTTTTATTTCTGAAAGTAGCGTTCACTGACTCTCTTGCTTCCTTCTGTTTCGGGCTTTCTGGTGCCTGCAGCCTCCTTTTTTTTTTTTCCTCTTCTTGAACAATAGGTTTTGCTAGAATTACAAGGGATTGTTCTACAGTGCAGTTTTAGAGGTTGTTCCTGTCTTTTCCAGACACTTGGCAGCATGCTCAAAGCCCAGCAGACATACATGTGGGCAGGCGGATTGCACATGACCTAAGTGGACTTCACTTCGGTGCTTTCCACAGTGCAAGCCTGACAACTTGTTGCTTTGTGGCTGAGCAAGCTGTGTGTGCTTGGAAGCCCGCGGGGTTCTCCTTCGGGGCTCGGGAGAAAAACATTCTTCAGGATCCTGGATGCAACTGGCAGGGTGACGGCTGTGGAGCGGGAGGCAGGCTCGTTAGTTGCACTGCGCAGCGTCTGGATGTTGGCATAGACGTGGTCCTGCCCCGTGTCCTTCAAACAAAACTTGAGGTTGAATCCCTTTTGTGTGGGTAGATAAGAGAGTGCATTGAGCTCCATGGAAAACAGACAAGGGTGCATCGACAGATGGTGAAAGGGTCATCCCCACAGCCGGGGTCAGCCTCAAGCTGGGTGCTATAGCAACCCTCTAAGAATTATCCTGTGAATTAAAGGACGGTTGGATTCACTGCATCTGCCCAGGCAGGGAACCGGCTGGGTCTTTGTCAGCCAACAGATGAGAGGCTGGTTGGCAGTTGTGTGGTTTGACAGTTCAGCTGTGTTCAGACAGCCCTCTGCTGTGGTGGTGACGGTGCTCCGAGCCTCACGGGGTGTGTGCGTGTGTGCGTGTGTGCGTGTGCGTGTGTGCGTGTGTGCGTGTAAACATCGTCAAATGAGGCAGGCGGTGAGAGGGTCCACCCCAGGTGTGGGCAACAGGCTATGAAGTGCTTTGTGCTTTTTATTTGTACAGAGTTTAACAATAATACACCTAAAAGTCAGTTTGCTTTTTATTATTATCATGTCCCAAGAGCTCCTAACAGTGTCTGTAATAAAATGCGACCCCCTCTTCGTATATCACTGGGATAAACAAGTACCAGGGCAAGATTATAAGCAGCAAGAGAATAAACAGGAAGCAAGTGACTCCCAAAATAAGATGATTCGTGTGTGTGTGTGTGTGTGTGTGTGTTGGGCTGGGGATTAAACCCAGGGCCTTGAACATACCAGGCAAGTATTCTTTCACTGGTCTCCAGCCCAGCCCACTCTTCCTCTTTTTTTTTTAATCAAAACTCTCACTGGGCATGGTGCCACATACCTGAAATCCCAGCACTCTGGGAAGCTGAGGCAGGAGGATCACAAATTCAGGCCCTGTCTCAAAATAAAAAATAAAGCAAGGTTGTAGGTGAAGCTCAGTGCCGAGGCCCTGGGTTCAAACCCCAGTATCACAAAACAAAACAAAACCAAGAACAGAACTCCCTACTTTGTGGAGTTTAGAGATAGTTGATCTGCGATAGGCCTTTCTGGTTTCTAGCTCTGTGTTTTGGTTATCTACAGCTGCTTTTAAAAAGTACTCAAAGGGCTGGCGATATAGCTCATTGATGGAGCGCTTGCCTGGCATGCATAAGGCCTTAGGTTCAATGCTAAGCTCTGCAAAGCAAAACAAAATAAAACCCTCTCCAAGAGTTACTGTCTTAACAGCCAAGGGCTGGGGATATAGCTCAGGGGTAGAGCACCTGCTAGCTTGTGTGAGGCCCTGGCCCCAGGATTGCAAAACAGCAGCAGTTTGTTCCGGACTCTGCTCTGCGGCAGGCCTCAGAGGATGGTTTATCTCTGCTCGATTCACCTGGTGCCTGCTGAGGCTGGAACTTCCTAGAGAGCTTTTCCAACTCGTGTCTAGTACCTCAGCAGAGCTGGGCGGGAGGGTCAGCAGCTGGCCAGGCATCTCTCTCCTGTCCTGTGGCCTCTCCATTTGGCTGCCTGGGCTTCCTCACACAGAACCGCCTGTCCTGTAGCGGCCAGCTGCAGCCGGCTTTCCCCCAGCCCTGCACTTCCACCCCGGGGTGCAAAGTAGAAACTGTCAGACTTTCTTAATGTCGACGAAGTCCTACAATATTATTTCCACTACTGCTACTTTGTCGAAGCAGTCACAGGGTCAGACCAGACTCAAGCAGAGGAACACAGTTCCCCTGCACGATGAGGGATGTACTACTGTGGTGGCACCTCAGGACGCCTACTTCACATTGTCTTGTCTGGCATGACGAAGTATTGTGTCCTTTTACTGTAACAGACCTCAGCAAGGTGGAAAAAGATAAGGTTTTTCTCAAATTTTAAAAAACGAGACCTTTGTCATTGTTACCATAACTTGGTTCTGAACGGAAGGATGGTCTCTTCTTCAATACCTAAGTAGAACCAAGAGATTGTTGGGGTCCCCTAACATAGCAGTGAACTCGAGAGAAAAACGTTAGGGTGGACTTGATTTGTCAGAACATCCAGATCATGTTTAATTCCATGCAGTTATACGACCCACAGATTATGGCCTAGTAATTTTTAAGGTCAAATGACCACATTTTTTGATCATTATTGCTGTGTCAATTCCCTGAAAGAGACTGGCCCTCCCATTCTTGTGCCAGAGTGTGAGTCTTTTGGAGACTGTAATGTGTGACGGTCAGCAATCTGGAGAGTTGCTATACATTTCACTTGGGTCAAAGGATTACACCTCAGTCCAAACAGGATCCGCAAGGGGAACTGATACACCTCGACATGACTGCCTTGCCCTTGCCCGGCACGGTTAATCCACCTGCGTGTGCACAGAGCTTCGGTTTGGAAGGCATTGTCAGGTGCATAGTCTCCTTTTCTTCTGACTGTAAACAGCCGGCGAGCAGGCAGGCCCCGCGTGAATGTGCAGAGTTCGCAGGGAAGCAGGAGCGAGATCCAACCTCCGCCGCCACAGGCGAGCTCAGGCACAGCGGAGGAGCAGCTCTCCTCTTTCTTGGGGCAGGTTTCCTCTTTCCTGCTGGCACAGAGGTCTTTGAGGGTCCCGACCTCTCTGCCCTGGGGCCTGGGCTGATGGCTTCTGCCTCAAGGCAGATCCTAGGGGCAGGTTCAGTCAGCTCCCAAGGTGAGTACCACGCAGGGGGGCCTGGCTCCCGTCTACAGGGGTTGCGCGGGCTGGAGTCCCCCGTGTCTGGGGCCCAGAAGGAGCTCGCCTTGGTCACCGTGCTCAGGCCGGGTGCGGGCTCCTGGACTTGTTTATCCTCCTCACTCCGTGTCCTTAACTGTCCTCTTACAAGCAAAAAAATACGTTGTGTTTCTGGGGCCCCAAACCTTGCGCTCCTCTCTGGGGCAAAGGGGGCCTGAGGTCGCACCCCGCCTGGCTCCCGGCCGG